ATTTCCTTTGTAGTTTCGTCCTTCAGTTTCTGTTCTGAGTGTGCAACTTGGACTGTGGCCTGTCACCAACTTCTGTCAAGGCTTTCAACTTGGTTTTGAAGTTAGGTTCCTTGCACTAGATAGTGGTGTGAGTGGTACTCCCCTTCTTCATCTGATCTTGTCTCCAGTAGGCTGCTTCTCCACTCTCTTCACATTCAGATGAAGTCGATCTGATTTGCAGAGTAGTGTGTCCTTGTGTCTGGTGAATCTTATGTCGCCGCCTTGTGAATATCATTGTGTTTGTACACACTGCCTCGCCTCACCTCACCTCCAATCACCAAATCGCTGAATGCACAGAAGTCTGCCAACAATTCTCACTTCTCGTTCATCACCTCACCTAGTGCTTCTCAACCCATGGTTAGTTCTCTTCCTGTGTTGTCTGCTCCCAGTTTGCCATTCATGTCGCCCATTAAAATTTTGATATCGCCAACTGAGGTCTTGTCCAGTGTTGATTGCAGTTGTCTATAGAATTCCTTCTTCTTCTCTTCATCTGCATTATTTGTAGGTGCGTAGCATTGCACGATTGTGACTTTCATTCCGTTTGAGTTGAATCCATCTTGCTGTTATGATCCTGCATGAGGAGATTGGTTCCCACTGCATGAGAGCCTTCGATGCTGTTGGGGACATCATGATAGCCACTCGAATACTCAGTGTGCTGTGCTCGTGGTTGTCGTCTGGGTGACAACATCGGAGTAGGTTATTGACTCCTCTCCAGTTGACAGTTTGGATAGCCCACTTCCATTCCATCTACTTTCGCAAATGCCTAGCACTTCAGTGCGATACCTTCTCATCTCGTTTGCAATCTGGGCTGCGTTGCTAGGTTCAAACATGGTGCGGACATTCCATGTCCCCACGTTTACTTTCGCTTTCATCGAAGGAGAGAGAGAAAGAGAGAAGACTCATCGGTCAATTGGCTTCCCGAAGGCTTTCACCAACTGGCGTTATTTCACCTCTCCGATTCCAGTGAGGAATAAGTTTAATTTCGTTTTATATGTTGTTTGTGGTTTGAAGTTTCTGAAGCGATTGGGTGGGTTTTCCGGGGTAGGGTTGCTAGCCCTATGCTTAACCTTTTCTCTTTATTCGAGCTTATGACCGGCTAGTAACTGGTGTACTAGTTAACTAGGCGAGACTCTGACTTTGCACACTAATCTTCAAGCACTACCTCAACAGTTTTTCAATATAGTTTTCGAAGAAACGACTTCTGCCGGTATCATTCAAGCCGTTAAATAATCTAGCAGCCATTCATTTTTGAGCATCTGTCGAGATGTTTGGACTTGGTTTTCATTCATGATGTCTTCACAAAGTTTTTCTGACCAATATTTCAAGACGTTACGTCTACACGCAGGGACTTTCAATGAATAACGAGATTTTACGTTGATATTCATCATGGTCCGACATCAGTTGGGGAAATATTTGAAACGTCGGAGCATTGCACAGCTATTTTGTCCTAATACAGGATTCCTTAGCGGTGCGCACCCGCGACCCCACCAGGAATCAAACTCAGGACCTTCAGGTTCCGCAGCAAGCACGTCACTACTGAGCCACTGAATCATCATCCAATGATCCACATTTCCTACTTATTTCAGTTCACGATGTGGTGCAACCTCCATCCGGTGCCATCGTTGAGTAACTGTTCTTTCTTCCAACTTCGGTCATGATTTCCCATTAAAACTTCGAGAATCTTCTCTCGGAGCAAGTCACTAATAAGCACTATAGTAATTCAATTTGAAGGTTTGCGGGGATTTATTTATTGATTTCAGGTTGATTTCGATCATGAACTGACATCAGTTTTCCAGTGCTCCCAGGTTTCCAATGGTCCTCCGACTGATGTCAATCCATGATGAATATCAACTTGAAAATTAATAAATAAATCCCCACAAACCTCCGAACGGAATAGCGAAATTGTCCATGGAATCAATTACAACCACAAATGGAAATTAGGAGCCTTAATAAACACATTCCGATGAATATGTCGTTGACTTAAATACTGTATTCCATAAAAATACTCATTGATTTTACTCAAGATATACAATTAGAAATATGAAGGGTTTCAAAATCTCTGGTGAAAAAGCCCGTGGATAGAGACTTTCTAGAAATCCCAGAAGAGTAAAATATGTAACCAATCACAAGTTGAACTGGTTTCAAAAGACAGTACTAAGACATGGACGCCATTTTTATACACTTCCTATGAATGCTGGGTAGTACAATTTATACAGAATTTGTACCATCAAATTTCTCAACTTTAATCATTTGATGGCACAGTTGAGAGATACTATGGATCTACTTCACTTTAGCCTAAAATAATGTTTGATGAAGAATAAAGCGTATGAAAAGACTTTGAAAAGAAAAGAGGAATGGATACTCATTGACGTGACGAATGCTCAGGGGTGATATCATTCAACAAAGAAGACTATAATAACAAAATAAGCCTAGTATTTGAAGTTGTGTCACCAATCAAAGTAGATCAATGTAAAGAAGATATGACAGAAGCAGTAGAGAAACAAGTCACCAAAGGACTCTGATTACTTCTTAAAAAATAAAAAACCATTTATTTTTAACGATTACACTAAAAAGTTTTCCTGGTTATAACACACTCTATCAGATGTAACCGAGACTGATCACTTGCGACAGACGCACACACCCACATACATATATGCATAAAATTCTTCTCATACTCATCATGCTATAGACCATCGGTCAGATTTCGTCAAGATAAAAATACCAACCGATCAAGCTGAATGTATAAACGATACTATCGGCTATTAATTATCAGTTTCCATATGCGTATATATAGAAATCAAACTTTAAGCAGCAAAAACAACAGTAATTAATTCTTTTCTAAGCAGAGAAAGTAACAGAAAAAGAAACGACAACAGAAAGTAAAATGGAAACAAACCTGTTAAGTAACACAAAATATACAAGTTACGACTGCGAGTAGAAAAAAGGAAAGGTATAAAATCCTGACAAATCTTTTGTCACTAAATGTGCTACACCTACGGGCACTTTCATTTCAGCATACATAAAAAAACATCGGAAATGCATAAACTCATTCAATACACATAGAAACAAAAAAAATACCAAACCCTTAGATAATTTAGTCATCCTGGATAGAAATGACATCGGAATCGAAAGATAATATCGATACAGCAAATGCATTTTTCTTGTGAAAAAAAAGAGACAAACTGATATACTTTAATCCGCTTAGGTTTTCCTCTGATTGTAAGTAAGTGAGTAGGACAAAAGATTAGGAGGATTAGGAGGAGGACGAAAAAGAAAAAATCATGCGATTCACACGCGAAAAAATAAGCGGGTGAATGAAAATGAATTAGTTGTCTGGTTGATTGGTGTGTTTCAAGTGAACCAGGACTAAGAGAGTATATGTATATAATTTAATTCAATGAAACTGCTATTGCATCAGTCAAAGATTATCTAATAACTGCATTCTAGTTTGTTCGCTTTTTCGTATTCTTCTCTAGATTAAAGAGTAAAAATGCTTTTTGTTTTAAGAATTACAATACAATACTCAACAACTGCGTTAAAGCTGGTAAACGCAGTTATTATTGTTATTATTATTAGTCCCTTGGGTTTTTAGTGGAACATAGGGATTCAGTGCCACGTCGGCGTCTCACTCTCTTCTCTGCAGTCTTCTTAACCTGGCTCCACGACTCCCCATTTCCTCTATGTCACCCTCGAACGCCCAACTCGTCGTTTCCCATCTGACTGTATATCACAGAGTAAGTATACTGAGTAGTAGTGCAGTTTATCTTACTTCATGTCTGTGAAATACTGCCGTAAAATGCAGAATATCTGAAAAGTTTAAAGGCATTCTATGCCATAAATAGTATAGTAAAATAACTACCGATGTTTATTGATTACAACCAGCTAACGATGTCAAGGTTACACGTAAGAAAGGAGATATCGCGTATAAAGCTTTAGAAGTTACATAGACTGATGAGATTGAGGTCAGTGTGTCATACATGCCGAGCTATGAAGTATTCTGATTTAGAAGTTACTATTTGATGATCTAGTGGTGTGAGCATGTCTGCTGATGTCTCTATGTCTGTTTTCAGTGCTTCTGGAGTTCCATCCGGTCCTGCTGCTTTCCTGGCTTTCAGTAACTTCATGGCACTCAGAACTTCTGCTTTTGTCGGAGGGTTTGTGTTCACTGACAAAAACGCAGTTAATAGCCATACTTTATTTAAGATAGCGGTTTTCTTGGCCATATTTCTTCAGTAGGTCATATTTAATTTGAGGAATAAGATTCAGGGATTGAAAGTCGAGTTTCAAACAGATCTAGATTATAGATCCAGGTAAGTGTGAAACCTAACGCCAGGGTTTTTCAATAACTTTCATGGATGGAAGAAGAATAGTTGGTGTCTCAGATATTTAAAAAAACTGTAACTTAAAAAAATTTCCAACATAAAGGTGCGAACCACAGCTAACATAGTATTATCAACTCACAAATCTTGAAGTTAGAAAATAACAGCCGTTCATTGGTTAACTGATATGTGACGAGAACTCCATAAAAACAATTCCGTTTTATTAGGAAAACGTTGAAAAATCTAACAGAGAGAAAAGTTTAACGTCAGGCATGTATTAACCGTGAATTATTTTGTTATTATTATTTCTCCCTATTGTTCCTAGTGGAACATAGGACTTCAGTAGCACGTCTCCACTTCACTTCACTCTCTTCTCTGCAGTCTTTTCAACCACGACAGCCCACAAGCTCTCATTTCCTCCTCGCACAATCTCCTTTATGTCACCCTCCTTTCAAGCGCCCAACTCGTCGTTTCCCATCGGGGTTCCACTCGAGCGACTGGCCTGGCGCGTGATGTCCACAGTCGGAATTCTCAATGTATGCTCAATCCAATCCACCTCCACTTCTTTCTGCATATTTGATGAATGATAGGTTCTTGGTTGGTTCGTCACTAGCCAGAGTTCCTTGTTGCTTATTCTTTCTGGCCATCTGAGCTTCAGTAACGAGCCAGCTTACGCAGTTGTTGATGAATGTCTGTAGTTTGTTGGAAACCCCTTTCGTAACGCGCCAAGTCTCTGAACCATACAGAAGCACTGACTTGACGTTGGTGTTGAAAATCCGTATCTTGTTAAACATGCTGAGTGCAGAAGATCTCCACACTGGTTTCAGGTTAATGAACGCCTGTCTTGCTTTCTCGATCCTGCATGACTTTGACGTCCTCATCTGTGCCTGTGCCGTCTGTAGTTGAAACAGTGCTTCCTAGATAGGTGAAGGAGGTTACTTCCTTTAAGTTTCTCCCGTTCATGGTGATTGGAGTTTGTTGTTGCTGTTGTTGTTGCTTGGGTATCTTCATCACCTGTCTTCCCTACATTCACTTGAAGTGCCGTCTTCGCTGCCTCTTCTGCTAACTTGTTAGTTTTCGCCTGCAGATCTTCAAGTTTGTGTGACATCAGACACAAGTCATTGGCGAAATCCAAGTCTTCTAGGTTCTTTTCCGCAGTCCAGCGTATCTCCCTCTTCTCGCTCCCCACTGTTCGTTGCATGCCACAGTCCACTACAATCAGGTAAATCATAGGTGATAGTAGATAGCCTTGTTTCACCCCTGTCTTCACTTCAAAAGCATCACTGAGCTTCCCATTGTGAATTACTTGGCATGTGGCCTCTTCATATAGTTGTTGAATGAGGTTGATAAAGGTTTGTGGTATTCCGTGGTGTTGAAGCAGCTTCCAAATTACTTCTCGGTCGACTCTGTCAAAGACCTTCTCAAAGTCGATAAAGTTGAGGTGTAGAGTTGACTGCCATTCTATACTCTGCTCTAGGATGATGCGAAGCGTTTCAATTTGGTCCGCATATGATTTGTACTTCCTGAATCCAGCCAGCCTGTTCCGGTCATAGTTTTGAATCCAGTGCATCCTTTAGTCTCTCCGGGATGATGCGGCTTAGTATTTCGCTTCCTTCGGGTAGACAGGAGAGTGATTCCACGCCAGTTCTTGCAAACACTGAGGTCTCCCTCCTTCGGCAGCTTGACAAGGTAAACCCTTCTTCCAATCACTAGTCAGGTACCTTCTCTTCCTTCCACACCTTCTGAAATAGTGGTGTGAGCATGTCCGCTATTGTCTCTGCGTCTGTTCTCCGTGCCTCTGGCTGGAATCCATCTAGTCCCGCTGCTTTCCCACATTTCAGTAGGTTTATGGCTTTCAGGACTTCGACTTTTGTTGGAGGGTTTATGTTCACTGGTAGTTCTTTGGCTGCAGGTGGTATTTCCGGACGAAGTGCAGGTGGTGGTCGATTCAAGAGCTTTTTTGAAGTAGTCGGCCCATCGTTTCCTTTGTTGCTCTTCTTTAGTAATTAAATTTTCTTCATCATCTTTTATTGGCTTCACGTGTGTTGATCTCACCCCTCTCTGATAGTAACCTGGTCAAATGATACAATGTTGTCAGGTATTTCTTATCTGTAACCTGTTCTGCTTCACTTGCCAGTGTTCCGCAGAAGTGTCTTTTGTCTTTCCGTGCACTCTTCTTCACTTCTCTGTCCAGTATTTTATACGTTGTACTCAGTTCCTCTTGTCGTTGTGCATCCTTGCACTGGTTCATCTCCTGCTTCACCACCTTCCTCTCCCTCCTCTATCACCTTCCATGTGTCCGATGAGATTCATTCTTTGTCCTGTTTTTCTGCCTTCCTAATACGGTTATGCAGGTTTCTTTCCACATCTCTTTCACACACTTCCAGTGTTCTTCCACACAGGTTTCTTCAGGGATGTCGCTCAATATTTCCCGTTTTGTCCTCATGACTGATGTGAAGATTTCCTTTGTAGTTTCGTCCTTCAGTTTCTGTTCTAGTGTGCAACTTGGACTGTGGCCTGTCACCAACTTCTGTCAAGGCTTTCAACTTGGTTTTGAAGTTAGGTTCCTTGCACTAGATAGTGGTGTGAGTGGTACTCCCCTTCTTCATCTGATCTTGTCTCCAGTAGGCTGCTTCTCCACTCTCTTCACATTCAGATGAAGTCGATCTGATTTGCAGAGTAGTGTGTCCTTGTGTCTGGTGAATCTTATGTCGCCGCCTTGTGAATATCATTGTGTTTGTACACACTGCCTCGCCTCACCTCACCTCCAATCACCAAATCGCTGAATGCACAGAAGTCTGCCAACAATTCTCACTTCTCGTTCATCACCTCACCTAGTGCTTCTCAACCCATGGTTAGTTCTCTTCCTGTGTTGTCTGCTCCCAGTTTGCCATTCATGTCGCCCATTAAAATTTTGATATCGCCAACTGAGGTCTTGTCCAGTGTTGATTGCAGTTGTCTATAGAATTCCTTCTTCTTCTCTTCATCTGCATTATTTGTAGGTGCGTAGCATTGCACGATTGTGACTTTCATTCCGTTTGAGTTGAATCCATCTTGCTGTTATGATCCTGCATGAGGAGATTGGTTCCCACTGCATGAGAGCCTTCGATGCTGTTGGGGACATCATGATAGCCACTCGAAAACTCAGTGTGCTGTGCTCGTGGTTGTCGTCTGAGTGACAATATCGGAGTAGATTATTGACTCCTCTCCAGTTGACAGTTTGGATAGCCCACTTCCATTCCATCTACTTTCGCAAATGCCTAGCACTTCAGTGCGATACCTTCTCATCTCGTTTGCAATCTGGGCTGCGTTGCTAGGTTCAAACATGGTGCGGACATTCCATGTCCCCACGTTTACTTTCGCTTTCGTCAAGAGAAGACACATCGGCCGATTGGCTACCCGAAGGCTTTCACCAACCGGCGTCATTTCGTCTCTCCGATTCCAGCGAGGAATAATTTTGTTTTTATTTTTTATATTTTGTTTGTGGTTTGAAGTTTCTGAAGCGGTTGGATTTGTTTCACGTGAATTACCGTTCACTTTATATCACTATACAACAAAGACAACTTTGAAGTAACCCGTTTTACAATAATTTTTAACTTACTTTCTAAGAAATTACTAGAATTACTAGTTGTTCTTAATAAATAATAAGTAGCTGGAACTTGCTATACACACAGCTGGTGATAAGTAGTATTAAACCAAGAGATTATACATTCAGAAACTTTTTAAAGCAATAACAACTTCTCAAGATCACAACATTAGTCACCGCTAAATATTAAACAGTCACCCAGGAAAACGTAGCTAATACAATAGGATTTCGTTACATAAACTTCGATCTCAACAGAAGACTTGACAGTTAAATAAGTCATCATACAGTGACAAAGACTCATAGATAATTTTACTCATACAACGAAGGTTGGTCAACGCTGCCTAGTGAATGAACTTGTAAACTAATATTAGGAAAGTGTATGTTTTTAGCCTTGATATACTCCAGCCAAATGTCACAAAATATCTTGAGAAAGTGTATTAAATTCCATATGAATATGTAAATATTCCCAAACATCTTTTTTAATGACATGAATTGTTTTATTATCCGCGAGAAACATTTCAAACTCAAAAGAACCCACATGAATTTTCGTATGGTAGACAATGAATTCCACCTTCTGTGTAAGATCTAACGGTCCTACCTGACTGCCTATGTCTCGGTAGATAGAATGGGGTTAGAATTCGTGACCAGTCGGTCGAATTTTGAATGCTTAGATCAGTAGACCGCAGCTACACTCAAGTAACATCTAATAAATTACCAACAGCAGAAGTATTATTCTTGATTTTAGACTTCTCTTATCAACCAACAGCAATCTTTGCAAGGTATTCAAAGTATGCTTGAATTCTTTTTATACATAGTATCACCTGTACAAGGGCTTGTGGAGGGTTGTCATCAGATTTGACGACAAATAATGGTGTCCACCAGCAATTCCCACTCTTATCGTCGTAGACGTAATAATGGACAGAACGCGATGTAAGTCTGATTTCATAGGGATTGACCTATTCCCTTCTCAGTAGGTCATCTGGTTGGCTTGTTGTATACAGACGATACTGTCCTGCTGGGTGAAGACGTTGACAAAATCCATGGTCTTGTGGACGCGTTGAGCAGAAATCTGAGCATGTTTGGCATGCGTCTCTCTAGCACCTGTTAAATGTAAGATGATGCTACAGGATTGGTCTAATCCAAGTACTCTCATCCTTATGATAAGTAGTGAGGTGGTGGAATGTATTGACTACCTCCTTTTCGTTAGCAGTTGCACCAGTCTGAAAAACTGGCTGGTTCCTGACGAAATCTCAGCTCGCATACTGAAGGCCTGTTTGACATTTGCCAACTTCCTCATCTCTAGTCCCGACTATCCATGAAAGGACGAGTACACTGCACTGCAGTCCGTTCTCTCCTGTTACACGACTGTGAGACATAGTCGTTAAAAGTAGAAGATATGAAGCGGTTACAGCCTTTTGATCACAGGTGTCTTTGCAGCATTGTTCACGTTTGCTGGAATCACCGTTTCACCTGACCAGTGTTGAGATCAGATCAGGTGAAGGGTACTAGGCAACACAGGCAAGTCGATTGACAACGTTGTGAACTTTAGTCAACTGAGATGGCTAGGACCTGTGTTGCGCATGCCGAGTCACCACCCACCTCGACGTACATTGTTAACAGAAGTTGGATTACTTTCGAAGAGGTTTCAGGGTGGCCACACGAAGATGTGTGGCACCAGTCGATGTAGTCTCTGACTGTTGGTCTGAGTCGTGTGCGGCGATGTAGACTGGCTGGTTGGAGTCCTCAAGGCGAAATGAATCAGTGGTTGATGACTGAGTTTTGGTGATATGGCTTAAAATCGGTCATAATGGTGTGGTTGTATTCACTCCTTGACCCCGTATAAAGCTTGAATATTCACAGTAACCCTCATCTTCAGATTGTTTATTCTGTTGCACAAGTTGTACTACTTTGATATCAGTCTTTTTCTATCGACCTGCTCTTTGTAACTACTTTTAAGTGCAGCATCTTGAACCGATGCACTTTTGTGATATGTTCTACTTTGATTTTGTCAATCAGTTTGCTTTGCTACTCAAAGTCTGACTGTGAGGAATAAATGATGAGGTTTGAAACATTGTATATCGTTAAAGAAGCTTAAACAAGCATCTTTCACATTCTCAAGCATCAGATGGTATACTTAACAAGATAAAAGAAATACTTACTTCATCCAGAATCATAAGACCCCATTCTTGAGTCTTGATCCAATTCATCATACGATCAGCTTCATAAGAACGTTTTGTTGAATGTGCAATCATACTATACGTGCTTATGCATATGTATGAACTCAAATTCGGACGATCTTTGGCATCACTAGTGAAACGCATTATTTGACCATCTTCTATAGTAGACCATAATTTAAATTGCGCTCGCCACTGTTCCACAGCAACTCCACTAGTACACAGAACAAATGTTGGCTTTCTTATTGTACAGGCAGCAGTAACACCAACCTAGAAAAGGAAGAGGTTAAAGAATTTTTCAAAAAAGGGAAAATAAATCAACACTTATTAATCAATAAACCAATCAAATAGGTGATTGGTAACACAGCAATGAAAATTTTGCTTGAAAATGAAAGTAAACAGAATAGTAAACAAAAGTATAAGCTCTAATTGTTTGACACGAATATATCAACAGGGAAAAACATTAGTCGAAAGAAATAACATGTTAAGCGAAGGAAGAGGCAGTGAGTAGTATCACTGCACAAATAATAAATTGCTACTCTGAAACATACATTTTCAATTTGGAGGTTTGTGGGGATTTACTGACTGTTTCAGGTTAGTAATCGTCATTGGGCTATGGCTGAGGAGTCCTAAACTACGACGAAACAGCTATTCAGTACTCCCAGGTTTCCAATGTTTCTCCAAATGATGTCACTCCATGCGGAATACCAACCTAACATCTTTTTACTGATGAGAAAGACGATAATTATAGTTATTTGAAATGGAGAAGCAATTCTTTCCTAAGACTGTTATTTTTCATTGGAAAATCTTCAGAATTTTGTCAGTTGAATATTGAGAAGAAAAGCGATTTATTGAAGTGACTTCCTGGTCATTTTCACGTGCTTAAGAACCATTTATAAAAATAGCCGGGACAGTGTTTGTTTACCGAACTTATTTTCATGTGAACAAAAAATCACTCAATTTGAGGTGAAATTCTCTGTCACACAGGATTCAAATCAGTACCCGATAGATTATCAGCCTAGAGTTCCATCTAACCAGCTAAATATCAGTTCATTGTAAATATGATACTTGGCAACACTGTGTGAGGGTACAAGCAGCCATACCTCAAATTAATACATCAGGGTACAAGGTAACAGGATGAAAAATGGATAAACACAAGACAACATCGTAAATTTCCATGAGAAGGGAATAAAACGTAAAAGAACAACAAAATTCACTCTGATGATCAAAACAAATTATGTGAAGTACTGAAATTGATTTTAAGCACATCATATTGTATCCAAACATCTATTTTAGCTGTTACGAGGACCCTGGCCAAGTAGACTACATTTTCTTACACAGCTCAGACGAAGAGCCAAAGACTTCGAGGACTCATATCACGCTTCAGTCTAATAGCTTTCAGTCACTTATCCTAAGCTTACTCCTGTTAGTATTGCATGGTGTCGGTGGATAGTGACTAGGCATGAATAACGAATGCCTCAGCTATCTCAGTTGATGATGGTTTACGACCACATCAACTAGATGAGCCTCTTTTGACACGACACTATGATTTTAAGGTTGCAGTCTCAGGACACAGGGTTTATCACAAAGAAGCATAAAATTCAACTACATATTTATCATTCCCTCTTGTTCAACTACCACACGGTCACCAACCCAAGCAGATGGGAAATAAGTACGACCAGATGTATGTTCATTTCAAAGTAGTGAAATGTCAGTTAATAAGTTCATCTCGAAATAATTACTATTACAAACACCATTATTTTTTATTGATAATGAGAGTAATAAATCAACAGATGTTTGTGTGCGCGCATGTGTGTGTACATCTTATACTCGATGTGCGAATGTTTTCTATTATGACAACAACAAAACATCAGTAACCTATTGATCCCCTTGTGGAATGACTCGAATTTTCTCTCTCTCAATACTTTGCACACCCTTAGAAAATAAATAAACAGAAAGCAGGAAAGAGAGACGTAGAGGGATCAAGGAGATAATTCGAGCAGAGGAACAAACGAAACGATGATAGTAAAATAATAATGACAAATAAGCCCCGGACAAAAGACTTGAAAAACAAAACTGAACCTTTTGGTTGACAGAAAAAGAATGCAAAGAATGATAAGTAAATAAGATGATATGAGAGGAATTCAGAGGAAAATAATTCAATCTATGCGTAACATCAGGTATAATAACAGCAGGTCAGAACAATGTCATATAGTTTAATTAATTCGATACTCAGTTCATTCGAGCTCTAATCCGACGGTAAATATAATCAGTCGAATGACTTTACAAGTAAACCTGTATGCAAAGTTCAATGGACAATGATATCCAGATTGACAATGAAACGTTTGCAGGGCATAAAACAAAGTCAGAAACTAACAACACCCGATCAAAAAATTATTGTCCTTAAAGTAGAATAGGGAGAGGGGAAAACAGTCGTGATGGATTGTACTTCCTCCGTACATAATTATCGTAATTATTTAGTCAGGCGTATGTACCTTAGTAATAGATAACCTCTATGTATGTATGCACACACGAACATCAGATATCTCAATGTCTTATCAATTTTAACTAGTAATGAAGGCAAACGGGATGGACAAAGTAATAACAATAATAATAATAACAGTGTTTTTTTCAGAAAGACTAATTTACCGTGTCCTTAGTAAATCTACCAGTGGTGTATAGGATAATGGGTCTTCTTGCTTTGTTGTTGGTATATGCAAGTTGTACACGAAAGGACTATTGACCAGAGGAAAAATGTCGAAACGACTACTAAGTAAAAAGGAAAAACGACCCCCTACAAACAAATAGAGTAGTAGGAATGACATATTACAATAATAACCTTTGCTGACCTTATAAACCTTATAAAATATATTATAATGGAAAACATTTCGATGTAAACACGAAGGCCTGCATCTTTTAATTTAATTATTTTCATTCTCGTAAAAGTAAAATGATGTAAACATTATATATATATATATATATATATATATATATATATAAACACTAGAACAGAACACATAAATCAAGAAGCCTGTTTGCAGACACTGAAGATGAAATTAGAAAAAGCGACAACTAGATACCTTACCTCACTCGATATAATGCCGACCGGGAGATCCCGAGGCTGTTTACTAGTTGTAATACTGGAGCAGTTTCAACTATATCAATCAATATTATTCTCTTATATGAAGGTAAGACTACAAAACTACACAAAACTAGGCAAAATATTAAGCCACATCATCCGGGAAAGACTACAAAATGCTCGGGATTGACAACTACGACTGGAACAGGCTGGCTGCTTGGCTGGCTTCAGAAAGAACAAATCATGTGTGGATCAAATTGTAACACTACGCTACGCATCATCATACAACAGAGCATAGAATGAAGTCAACTGGATCTTTACCTCAAATTCATCGATTTTGAAAAGACCTTCGACAGCATCGACCGAGAAGTAATTTGGCAGGCAACTGCTGCTTCAACACTACGGTCTTAGTGACACAAAGCTTTACCAACCTCATTCAACAGCTATCTGCTATATGATGCTACATGCCAAGTGATTCACAATGGAAAGCTCAGTAATGCCTTTGAAGTGATGACAGGAGTAAGACAAGGTTGAAGATTACTATCTTGATTGTGGTCGACTGAACTGGATCATGCAGCAAACTGTGAGGAGCGAGAAGTGGGGCATACGCTGACTGGACCAATGAAATGACCCTGGAAGAAGATTTGGATTTCGCCGCCGACAATGATTTATGTCTAATTTCTTGTCACACAAACTCGAAGATCTACAGGCGAAAACCAACAAGTTGACAGATGAGGTGAGGCAGCGAGGACAGAACTTCAGGTGAACGTGGAGGACACAGAGGTGAGGAAGATACCCAACGAACAACAACAGCAGCCACGACAAGCACTAATCACCACCAATGGGAGAAAACTGAAGGAAGTTGTCTCTTTCATCTGCCTGCCTAGGCAGCATCGCATCAACTACAGGCGGTGGTGGCGGCGGCACAGTTGAGGACGTCAAAGCCAGCCATGATCAGAAAGACAACAAGACAGGCCTTCATCAACCTGAAATCAGTGTGGAGGTCTACTGCACTGCGCTGCACTCCACTCCACTCAGCATAAAGCGTGAACAACACTAATGTCAGTCAGTGCTTCTATGTGATGGTTGAGAGACTTGGCGCGTCACGAAAAGCATTTCCAACAAACTGCAGATATACGTCAACAGCTGCTGCCTACGCTCACTCGATACTGAAGATGGAGATCAGATGGATTGGCAGAAAGAATAGGCAACAAGGAACTTTGGCTGGTTGGCTGGCTGACTGGCAGCAAATCAACCAAGAACCCATTGTCCAACAAATATGCAGAAGAAAGTGGAGATAGATTGGATTGGGAATAGACTGAGAAGACTGGTTGGGGACATCACGCGCCAGGTCAGGCCATTGAGTGGAATTCAGAGGGAAACGACGAGTTGAACGTCTCAGTTGAGGGTGACATGGAGGAGATGGTGTGAGGCAGAAATGAAAGGCTGTTGGTAGTCGTGAAGTCAGGTTGAAAAGACTGCAGAGAAGAGAGTGGAGTGAAGTGGAGACGTGCTACTGAATCCCTCTGTTCCACTAGGAATGGAAGGGACAAATAATAATAATATCTCGGATAAAGAAGGACTAGACGGCAACACTGATAACGTTCACAATACGTCATTGTTATACTTCAGCTTGTCTAAATCCCAACTACAATCTTCTCATGATTTCAACAATGCTTGAAGAAATTAATGAACATGGGCATATCTGTTTGAGTTGTGTGTATTCTACGTGCAACAAGGACGACAATAATGATTACATGACTCCTAGTAAACAAGCACACACACACACACATTCATGCTGCAGACAGATGTATATATAAAAAAATCATTATCTCTAGATTTTGTCCCCTTATTTCTAAATCGTTCTGTCCATATTGATTTAATTGCACAACTAACAGACTAGACTGACTACTATTCCACCTGGTAAAACTTAGATCCATTTGATTTGATCTGCATTCACCACCCATAACACTGACTGCTTCGATACTGAAGTGATTTTACACTATATCTTACTTTAGCTATTGTTTTTCACTTATTCTCATGAATCGATAACTGTAGAGCCTGAAGAAGTTACTGAAAACAATTGTTCACTCGCTTAAATTACTCTTGTTCGGAATAATCTATGGAGATCTTTAAATCATTAATATATTCATCTGTTTACGCTGAATGATAATTGTAGTATACATCTATG